ACTTACTGGTCTAACAGAGACTAGAGGAACCCCCAAGCTATACCCTACATACACACCTTTCTAACTCAGATCTGAAGCCACTCCCGAAGATCACCTTTCAGCCAAAGATTAGACAGGCCTATAAAACAAACAGTAACACACGTGAGGAACATGCTTCTTAGATGAATCAAGTATAAGAAACCAAACAGACAACACCTTCCCAAAAGCAAAGATGAGGAGAAGGCAGGAAGGGTCAGGAAAACTGGATAAATGGAAATGGGGAACTCAGGGTGAAAAGGGGGAGAGTGCTGACACATTGCAGGGATTGCAACCAATGTCACGAAACAATTTGTGTATAAATTTTCGAATGAGAAACTAATTTGCCCTGTAAATTTTCACCTAAATCACAATAAAATAAGAAGAGAGACTACATACCAACATTTTTAATTAAACTCCAATATGAGTACTTATTATCTTTCAAAATGGAGCTAGGGATAAAATCTAGGGAGCTGTTTTCCCTAAGTCAAAACTTAAATCTTTATTAGACAACTTAAGAAACAGAGCTGCCACCCTGGTAGAACAGAGCTCAGGAATGCTTATAAAAGTCTTTCTAAAACACATTTTTACTGCCATCCGCCATCTTAACATCAGCAATTATGGGAAGAGTTGGGTTCCTCTCCCCTCAGTGGGAGAGTGAGGGCTGATGGGAGTGCACCATGTTAGCCTTTTGCCACCCAGCCTCTCTCAGTCAGGATTTCTTCAGATGATTCAGATAAGGTGCGACACTCAAGGGTGGCCTGTGGTTTTCTTTGTTACCCAGAGCCTGCATGCCTCCTTTCATCTTGTTAAAATTATACCCTTTCTGCTGAGATTGAAAAGTACATCAGGAATTGGTAATTGTATCCTCCTCAATCCTCTTCCAAACTGGAGGGAAAGTGGCAGATCGTTGATCCAGCCCTTCTCTGGTTACCATACCATGGCTGTGGTATTTCTAATTCCCACACCACCCTGGATGCTCCAAGGCTTTTGTTCAATCTCTAATAGGTGGGAACATTGTGAAGGGTAATAATAGCTGATGTAATTCAACACCATGCAGCAGACATTTTACTAAGAGCTTTAAGCCAGTTACCTTGGAGGTGACTCCAACTCATGGTGACCTCGTATGTGTCAGAGTAGAAGTGAGCTCCATAGGGTCTTCCATGGCTGATTTCTTGAAAGTAGATTGCCAGGCCTTTCTTTCAATGTGCCTTTGAGTGGACTTGAACCTCCAACCTTTTGGTAGCAGCCGAGTGCTTTAACTGTTTGCACCCCAAGGACTCCGCTAAGGTCTTTATTTTTGTCTCGTCAGCAACTGGTTCACTGGTTTTAGCCTTTTCAGGGTTAAATTCAACTGAACTTAGAAACACAGAAACACTTTCCCCTTCTTCCTGGGAAGGTAATACTACCCACCCCGTTACTAACACCCACCCCTCCACCTCTACCCCAGCCCAGAAGAGGGGACACTCTTGCTACAGCAGGGGAAAGCTAAACTCACGTGAGCAAGGTTAGTATATGAGAGTATAGCTACTTCAGTTTTTTATGAGCTATCCGGCCACAGTTCTGTGCAGATCATTTTTCCCCCTTTGAACAAAGTTTCAGAATTTTTTGGCAATTTGGTGGGCGGCAGGAATGAAGCCAAGAAGAGAACAGTGAAATCGGAGAGAAGGAAGTCAGTACTAACAAAACACAAGACAACCCAAGATTGTAGAAACAAGACCTGTGGTTGTGATAAGGGGCAGCAGGGAAAGAGGTGGGAGACATTGTTTTTAAGTATATGTGCCAAATCTTCTAACCTGTAAGTCAAATTGTAGATGTATTTAATCTGCTAAAAAAAAATTGCATTAAATGAAACTGGCTTGTCTGTGAGCCAGAGGTGTATTTTCTCCTTTCTTCCTCTTTCTCTTTCTTGCCAAAACAACACTCTATAAGCATAGACTAAATCTCTCCAAAACAACACTCTATAAGCATAGACTAAATCTCTCGGCTATCTCAGAAATAATCAATTTTAAGGCATTAACATGGCTTCATTTCCCCAGATCTAGTTTTGCAAGATAGGTTTTTGTTCTCTTTTCATGTACACGCTATCTTAGATTATACTCAGATTTGTAGAGTTGTATAAAATTTACAGACTGATAAAAATAAGGCACACACAAAACACTCTCAATGCAACAAAAAGCATCCCTCTCCCATATCCATAGTATGTAGATGCCAGCTTTGTTCCAGGAAAAGTAAATTGTGCCTGTAATGATGAACTCATACATTTTCTGTGTTTAGCTTTATACTTTGGTGGGATCACCAGGTATGGGTGGCAATTGCTATACTTCTTTAAACATAGCATCAATCAGGGCACAGACTGTAAGCATTTTGAAAAGCCATACATTAAGCGGCAAGAACTGCTCTAGGAAACACAAATATTTATTCTAAAGCAGCTAAAGTTCAGCTTTCTTCTGAACCGGGGCTGTCTGCGGACATTGGTCGTTTATTGTGCCCTAATAAACAACTCAACACCCCAAACCTGTTCAGATAGGAGCCAGCTATTCATAGTTCTAGTTGACAGTCCCCTTATTTTCAAATGCTGAAAAATCCAGATAGAAAAATCAAAGAGATGTTAAGCATTTGAGTCATAACCAGTTGCTGTGAAGTTGACCTCAACTCATGGCGACCCCATGTATGTCAGAGTAGAACTGTGCTCCATCGGGTTTTCTTTCTTTCTTTTTTTTTAATTGTGCTTTAGGTGAAAGTTTACAGTTCAAGTTAATTTCTCATACAAAAATTTATACACATATTGTTATGTGACAGTAGTTGCAATTCCTATAATGTGACAGCACACTCCCCCTTTCAACCCTGAGTTTCCTATGTCCATCAAACCAGCTGCTGTCCCTTCCTGCCTTCTCATCCTGCCTCTGAACACAAGCTACCCACTTGGTCTTGTGTATCTGCTTGAACTAGGAAGTACACTCTTCACAAGTATTATTTTATGTTTTATAGTCCAGTCTAATCTTTGTCTAAAGAATGGGCTTCAGGAATAGTTTTAGCTCTGGGTTAACAGAGCATCCGGGGGCCATGGCTTCGAGGGTTCCTCCAGTCTCAGTGTGCCAGCTCCAGGGGAAGGCTTTCTCTCTCTGTTGGCTCTGGAGGAAGCTCCTTGTCATCCATCTTCCCCTGGTCAAGGAGCTTCTCAGCGCAGGGACCCTGGGTCCAAACCCAAAAAAAAAAAAAACAAACCCATTGCTATCGAGTTCATTCTGACTCATAGCAAGGACACGCTATTCTCCTGGCTCTTGTTTCTTGGTGGTATGAGGTCCCCCTGTTCTCTGCTCACTTCTGTCTTTTATATCTCAAAAGAGATTGGCTTAAGACACAACCTAATCTTGTAGATTGAGTCCTGCCTTATTACCATAACTACCTCTAATTCTGTCTCATTAACATCATAGAGGTAAGATTCATGACACATAGGAAAATCACATCAGATGACAAAATGGTAGATAATCTCACAATACTGGGAATCATGGCCTAGCCAAGTTAACACACATTTTTGGGGGGGACACAATTCAATCCATAACATTTGGCAACTTCGAGCCTACATTCTCATATTGCACAAAGGGCTGAAAACTAGGCTGTGAGTGCCCTTTTGATTAGAGTAACATGACCCAGCGCACCACAGTCTTTACCTGATCAGCGTCACGCCACTTGGTACCAGCTTGCTCCCTGTAGGCATTTGAATTTATGACGCTTGCTCATTATTACCCAATGCTCCAGCCAAGTGCTTGATTATGTTACTCCATCTTTCTAGAAATACCCTCATCTTTCTTCCCTGTGTTTAAGACCCATTTCAAACACTTCATTTTCCATGAAGTTTTCTCTGACTGCCTCCACTGGATATTATAAAAAAAAAAAAGAAAGAAAATGTAGCAGTCAAGTGGATTCCAACCCCTGGTGACCTAATGTGCTACAGAGTGGAACTACTCCATAGGTTTTCTTGGCTGTAATCTTTACAGAAGCAGTTCTCCAAGTCTTTCCCCCATGGAGCCACTGGGTGGGTTTGAACCACCAACCTTTCATTAGCAGCTCATCGCAAACAGCTTTGTTCCACCCAGTCTCCTCTCCGCTAGATGATATAGCCCATTTTTGAACCTCTGTGGTTCTCTCATGGCATTTTTCCTACTCTCCACTGGGGTGATCATTGGTATCCTTGATTTCTCCTTGTTTCTCAGGGGCATAGAGACAGATACTTATTTCTTTGAGCTTTCTTGAGGAGGGGTTTTCCTCTTGACCCATACCTTCCTCCTCTCCCCATAGACATGGAGTGAGTCATCTGGCTAAGGAGGACCAGCCAGGTGTGAGGCAGCCTCCCTCCCCTCCCCTGCTTTCCTCTCAAGCATCTGCCAATCTACACAGAGGAGATGCCATGTTCTGCTCGGGCATCTCAGATAAGGCCTGATGTTGTCAACACTACCTGGGTGTGTACATTTCCCAAGTCTGGAGTTCAGCGATAGGAAGAGGTTCATTGTTGCCATGCATCTAAGCTAGGATTTCCCATCCAGGATTTATTAGCAAAGCTGAATATTTCATCTTCATCTGCTTGAGTCCTTATCTCACAACTGTTCCCAAACTCAAGTAAGGAAAAAGAGGGGCTCTTATTGGGCCCCTTCTAGTCCCAGCAATAAAGACTGGCTTACTCTTCTTTGAATCCTCAGCAACTCCTAACGAAGTTCATTGCACAGTACTCTAAGAATATTTACAAATTAAATCAAAAGACATAATCAGTGGGCATAAAATTAATGGAATATTATTTTTCTTATGCTTATGTCCCCATAAGCCATTAACCTAAATGTCTCTTTGTAATGGTAACAAAATAAAAATTACTTTGTATATAACATATTTATTTCCTATTTACAGTTCTATTTTTATGTAAATCATTGCACATCATATCACACGTGTTTCATAAAAAAAAAAAGAAAGACAAAGTCAGTGAAGAAAACATCACACTACAGTATTTATCAGCAGTCTCGCAGCTCTTGTTTCTTGCCTTTTTTTGATTTTCTGGTTGTTTCTTGACGAATGGTGTCATACTCTAATATGGCCATTTTGGAAAGTCTCTGTAAGTATTGAGGTGGTGCTCCAGGGAGAGGATCAATGAAGACAGAACCTGTTAAAAAACAAACAAACAAAAATTCAGCCATTTAAAGTAAGTACACATGAATAATATTCTATAAAACATAGTGGATGAGTGAAATATTTGTTCCACAAATGACCATTAAATAGTACTAGTTCTTCATATAACCCATTCTTTGAAATAAGAATGCCGCTACTTATTTTCTAAAATGACTGTGACTCTGATGGTAAGTCACCTCAAAAAATACGTAAATTATAAAACTTCAGTGCTCATATTCAATTATATAAAATTAAATAAGTCTATAATGTGCTTCTTTAAACATGGAATGGCTGTGGAATTTATTCTGAAGTAAAAGATACAGTCTCTCATAAATACTTAACTCGTTTTATTTAACACCTTAAATGTTTATCAAGTTATTTTCCCCAAATGAGGTAGCTCCTCGCAAATAAGTGAAATAAAATAGTAAAATTGTTAAACAAAATAAGCCATTCACTAATTAAAACAGGATTGATCAAGTTTCTATTATAAAGTGGTGATGATAATAATAATGATAATAGGTAACATTTATTGAATGGTCCCCTTACGTCAAGTACTTCACATCTAGATCATCCATACAACAACACTAAGACATAGGTAACTAGTACTATCTTGAATTACAGATTTAAAAAAGAAGACATAAGGAGGCTAAGTAATTTGACCAAAGGCACATACCTAGTAACTGTGAGAGGCAAGATTTGAACCCATATCTACCAAATTCAAAATTCTCAAGTAATCACTACATGCTGTGCCTAAACATGTAAATACGTATAAATACTTCTATTTATAAATATATAAGGTTTTGACTATATATATAGATCCATGTTGCTTTAAAATATTATTATTTAACTTAATTTCAATTTCAGTTCCAAGTGTCAAAAAAAAGTGTCTTCAGTATTTCAATCTAATGTTTGTTTGTTTATTTTGTTTTGTTTTCATGCATAAGATGAATAGGAAGTTTGGAAACAGAGGGGAAAATATGATTAGGACTTTCATTTTTAGCAGTATAATGAACCCTGCACTTTAAAAGACCCTCCAGCTACAAAATAATCAGATTCTAGGCATTAAGCAAATCTCAATATATTTCAAATAATTGTTATCATATAGATCAATGAAATTAAGTTGGACATCATTAATAATAAATCAAAAAGTCCCAAATGTTTAAAAGTTTATATACACATTCTAAATTATTTATGAGTTAAAAAAGAAATCATAATAGATATTAAAAGTACTTTCAACTAAATCATAAAGAAAATGCCACAAAACTTGAGCAATGCAGCAAAAGTTGTACATAGAGAAGTTTACACCTTAAATTCGTATGTGAGAAAAGAAGAAAGGGTGGAAATTAAGAAGCTATGTATACCATATATGAAGTTAGAAAAAGAGTAAACCCAAAGAACATAGAATGAAGAAGATAATACAGGAAAGAGGAGAAATCAATGAAATAGAAAACAAAGTTACAGTAGAGAAGATGAAAAAAGACAAAAGTTCTTCACTGAAAAGAAGAGAGAAAGTCTCTGGTGAGATTAGTCAGGAAAAAAGATGGAAGGTACAAATAAACAATATTAGAAAAAGAGTAATGGAATTACAGATAGAGCAAAGACTCAAACTTTATGCCACTAAAATTTGAAACTTAACCAATGGCTAAATGGCCACTTACCAAAACTGATTCAAGAATTAGAAAACTTTAAGGGTCCTATAATTAAAATAATTGAATCAAAACTAAAGATTCCCCAAAAGAAAACAAGTGACCTGTATGATTTTACAAATGAATTCTATCAGACTTTCAAGGAAGAGAACATTCTAATTTTAGGTCAGATCCTTTAGAGAATACAAAAAGTAGGGATACTCCCCCAATTCATTCCATGAGGCCATTATAATTTTGACACTGAATCCAGACAAGAATAGAACAAAAACAAAAATTAGTTTCAATCTCACTCACTGACATAGATACAAATATCCCAATAAAATATTAGCAAATAAGTGGGAGAAAAATGGTGCTCTAGGCAGAAGCACCACGCCGTCCCTCCACAGCAAAGATCCGAAAAACTAAGCCGAACAGAGAATACAACAATCCTGAAACCCTAAAACATCAAATGAAGAGATAAAGAACTCAGCCAAGCACCAAATGGAGTGAGAAAACTGACAGAGAAC